ACTTGGAGACCGAGAACACTGTACTCTTGCGATGACCGCCGTTCTGGAAGGGCTGATGGATGTTAGAGAGGGTACGTCTCCTTTGCGGTGATGTGACCCCGATATCACGAAACTTTATCCCTAAATTCATATAACAATTTAGCACCACTTCTGCCAAACAATCTTTTATTTAGTACTTCTTAAGACAACCCCTTCGTAATTGTCGTCCTCCATGTCTTTAATGGACGGCCGTTTTGTTTTAGACGTCTGACCGAAGTATGTGCGCGAGAAGACCAGTTTTTTCACCCGTCCCGGCACTGATAGCACCGGAAGATGATTACAAAATTAATCATCAATTAGATATACTCATGATATACATGATCAATTAGATATACATGAATTGGACATACTCTCTGCCGGGGGTTCGTCAGTGGATTGATCAGGTTTCTTTTTGTTTAAATATTTAGTATATATAATACCGGAGCCGACGACTGTTATGATGTAAAATAAATAGATACCAATGAATGCAATCGAGTGGGACATCTTAATGGATCCGCCTAAGAATGTGAGCCATACTAGAAATGTGGTCAATACGTAAAACACTATATCACGACAAAGTGGTCGCGCCATTGGCTTGAAGTCCGATAATATAAATATAGTACCGGCCACCACTGTTGTTACAAATATACCGGCGCCTATTAATCAGGGAGTTGTTAGGTTATATGTATTTATGATGGTATGAATGAAATATTAAATATAACATAGGTTTGTACAAAATAATCACAATCGAAGTGACTGTTAATATATGATGAATCTGTTTTTAGTGTATGATTCCTATGACTATCGATATTTGATCTTCGATTATCATTCATTGGATTGTCATTATTTCGTATAAACCTTTCTCATATGAAAATCATTACCATAGAGTTCCCCGACTACAAGCTGTGGGTTGGATTGTCGTATGGCAGCTATGGATGAGAATATATCTGGGGCTCCATTTCCAAACGCTAAGAATGTGACGCCCTTTCAATCAATGGTTTATTAATTGTATTATTTAATATATCAGTTTCAATTATGTAAACTCCATATTGTGAAGTATTGTAAATTTACAATGTTAAACTCACGGCTATATTGTGTGAAAGTCTTAGTGTTCTCGATATCACTAACAGCGCCGGACATAAACTATAATTTGTAATATTAATAGATTAATTTTAAAAATTTGTAAATATACTTAAAAATATATAAATTATTATTTTATAAATTTTAATGTACAGTATTATTATAATGTACAAAAATAATTTTGAAGAGATAACGAGTGTGTTAATCATAATAATCTTGCGATTATCATGAACTTATTATTTGATTTTATGGCTATTTTATCACAAGTAATACAACAAAATTGCAATAAATTTTACAAAATTATTATATTTATATTGTAGATAGTATCATATAGATTTTATAATATTTATTTTTAAATACAGTACATAATGTACAGTATTACAAATAGTGCACCAACGCAATTTAGTACAATACAAATGTACAAAATCAAATAATTACTATTTTATTGTAAAATTTTATTTATTCATTTTAACTAAATATATAATTAAGACACTTTTATTTCTATTTTAAATTTTATCTAAATACTGTAACTTAATAATCATTAAATTTTAAATTGATATAACTTTCTATTAAAAAATAATTAATTAAATTGTAGAAACTAACGTAAATCCTGACATTTATAAGTTATTAATTCAACATTTAAACATATAAAATATAAATTGAAAAATAATTAAATTCTTGGTTATATGAAGTTCATAGTAACAGTGAACAGGTATTATATTAAGGATTTCCATAAGAATCAGTCACAGAATTAATTAAATTAATTTCATAAACAACTCATATTTCATATATCTATTACAGAATCTGTTGTAATCGTAGTATAATATTAGAGGTTTCATAATAAAAGACATGATAAAATAATTATATTATTTTAAAAATCGCTGTAATGTATAAGAATGGTGCTAATATAAAACTTTTCCATAAAAGCAGTTGTCAATAATTTGTGTTAAAATAATTAACTCTCAAAATACTTACAAATCATCGGCAGTGACGCCTAAACCGGTGAATAAGACCAGAAGCCATAGGAAGAGCACAACGACACCATAGATGGGATGACCGATCATACAGTAGGTTAGGTTGACATAACTGATGAGTCCGTCGGTGTCCGAGCAGTCGGCCTCCGTCTTCACGAACTCGCATCTCGCGATTGAATCGTTCAAAAGGTTCACGTCTTGACACTAAACACATGACACACATTGGCGTTAGAAAGTTATACACATTTAGGAAATTAAGAGCTAAACAATACTGTATTATATTAAAACTCCACTTAGATTAACTAGACAATAAATTTCAAAAAACAAAATTCTGTTTTTAAGTCTAACTAATTGATGAACTTCAGATTTTTAATAAGAATATTATTGTGTTTTGCAAATTAAAACTTTTGCAGATTATGTTATTTTTATTTTTTATTTTCACTAAACATANAGCATTTGGTCGTCAAAATCCACAGTTTTAGTAATGAATGATTGGCACGAGTTTTTGCAACAAATCTGTCCAATCGATTGGAAAACTTTCAAAACAGATCCCATTTATTTCAAAATATTTGCCATCTTTAAGGTTGTCATTACTATTAATGCATTTATTGTATATGTTTTATTTGATTGTTTCAATTGTCACTTAAGGCTCCCATTTATTTCATTCTAACCATTACTACACCCGTTGTGGACGAGGACTGTGAACGCAATAATTGGTGCAAAATATTGAATACTTTGCACATTATTATCAGTCCACAGGCTTTCCTATTCATCACAGAAAGTATGACATAAATATGAATTAAATTTAAAACTATCTTAATAGTTTAGATTAACTATTATAAGCAATAATTATGCTTAATAATATTTTTAAAACTTGATTGCAAAATCATAATGCTAACTTATTATGTTTGTTCAGTGACTCTATTGATTATAAGTTACTATAATACTGTACCTGTATTTCTACCGAAAATATGTTTACAATTGATTGCGTTTGTCATCCAAACAAGTGTCAAACGACCAAAACTATGTGATGGAGGGCATAGTCCTTGCCGTGTCGTTTGTGGTGGCACTGGTAGTCTTTTTCACATCGGAGACCGAGAAGCCACCGGTCTATCACTGGGCGTTTGCATACTTTGGTTTCATAATCGCCGTGTCCTGGATCTACGCCCTGGCCAACGAAGTGGTCGACCTCCTGACCGCAGTCGGCATTATCTTCAGTTTGAGTCCCTTATTGCTGGGCCTGACTGTCCTCGCCTGGGGTAACAGTGTTGGAGGTATTATGAGATGCCATTGAATTCAGGATCAGTTGTAATAAATTGTTTGCAAATCTATTGCCAGACTTCATATCCAACATAAGTATGGCTCGCAATGGATTCCCACGAATGGGTATCTCTGCTTGTTTTGGTGGACCTGTCCTCAGTAAATATGACACCAAATATTTAATTACTTACAGATTATAAGAATTTTGTGTATTCCAGATATGTTACTAGGAATTGGTATTCCCTATACTGTACTACTCAGTAGCGGCGGAAAGGTTGATGTAAGTATCAATTGTATAATAAGAAACAAAAAATTAATTAAAGCTAAACGTGAATATAAATTGCTGATTTATTTGATTGATGATTAGTTGACATATTCAAAATTTGTGACTCTATTATACTCGACCATATCGTTGAGTTTGGGCTCAACGCTACTTATAATGCTAGTGACGAGATTCAAGGCGACTAAACTGCACGGAATATATTTGATTTGTATATTCTTCTCATTCCTAACACTCGCCTGTCTTATTGAATGGCATATCATTTGATTCATTCAATGGCTGTATTGTACATATCATCCGTTAAATGGTTTTACTTTAGTTATATTATTTTAACTATTGTTCATGTACCGGTATATCATCTCATTAAATTTAATTCCTTGTATAATAAAGCATAGATAGAGCTATTTTTTAATAATTAAAATATTTAAGTACAAGTGCAGCAAATGGTTTTAATTTTTGTATCTGACAAATAGTTTATTATTAATAAAAAGAAATTTACTTTTAAAAGTATTATAAATTTATTATTATTTATAGTTAATAATACACTGTTATAAATATGGAAAATTTATTATTATATTTAAAATAAATCAACAATTTTTGCGATGTAATTGAAGTAATTATTGGATAATAAGAAATTTACTATAAATAAAAAATCAATGATTTGATATTCGTATATAATTCATAGAAATGTTTTACATCAAGTGCATTGAGTTTGTTTATTAAAAATGAATTTTTTGTTTAAAATTATCGTGTTTACTAGTGTTATCTAATTTTAACCTACCACGATAAAAGTCTCATTCAAATTAAATACATACTTTTAATATACGGCGTGATTAAAAGCTTTTTATCACTAGACTTAATGGACTTTTAACTTAACAAAATGAGTTGAGTAAATTTTATAACACACTGTATGCCGTATACCTACCTCATATAATTTATTGTATAGAAATTAGGGAAATTTGTTTAATTATTTATAATAACTTATTATATTAAGTTATATTGATGGTATACAATAAGTACCTTGTTACGTTATGTATCTAAGCTATGCTAACTATACAAAAAATTATATACTCAAAGGCAAATCAGCAAATCGAGATATTTTTAATAACAAATGTTTGAAGTTCAATATAATAGTTGATTTGACAAGTCCTCGATGTTCTAAGATATCCTTGAATTTAATTTGATTATTGATAAGTAATTACAGTTATGTATATAAAGTCACAACACTTTCCCAATTCTTACATTTATACAAATTCATATTTTGTATTTTAATCACATTTATTCAACACTACTGTATATTCCACAATAATGTTTGAAACATTGGAATTATTATTTCACTATTCCTTTATTAAATGGTCACTTATATTGACCACGTGTTTGTTAGTTACAGTGTATTCAATCTATAGGTATTTTTGCAAGTTTTCATTTTTTAGTATCATATTAACTTGTACACTTTCCGACAGATATATCAATTCAAAATGCAATTATTGGGAAACACAAGGCGTGAAGTCGGCGAGTGTTAGCTATTACACGAGATTCACGAAACAGTGGTACGAATGGGAACAGGAGTTGTATCGCAAAAATGGCAAAATTTTCGGTATCTATGAAATCACAAAACCGGTGCTCTTTCTATCGGACCCGGAGCTCATTCGCGACGTTTTGGTCAAAGATTTTCATATATTTAACAACCGAAGAGTAAATAGCAATTAATATAATGTTTTAGACGTTTTTAACATAATATTCGTTGTGTCCCTCAAAAGGACTTCCGGACGGGTGGCGACCCATTGGTGGACAATATGGTTAGTATCGTGAGAGACGAGCAGTGGAAGAAGATCCGGTCCATAATGTCTCCCACTTTCTCGACGGGAAAGCTCAAGAAGATGATGCCATTGATCGTTGAATGTCGTAATACAATGATTGGTAATCTGGAAAAGATCGCCAAAAGTGGCAAACAGGCGGATATGAAGAGGTTGTTTGGCGCCTATGCCATGGAAGTGGTCATTCAAGTGGCGTTTGGCACGAAAGTGGACGCACTCATCGACGAGAATAACCCCATTATAACCAATGCCCGTAAAATGTTTGGCAAAGACTTTAGC